CTCTCTCTCTCTCTCTCTCTCTCTCTCTCTCTCTCTCTCTCTCTCTCTCTCTCTCTCTCTCTCTCTCTCTCTCTACACACACACACACACACACAGAGTAGAGATAGTCAAGAAAGGGATTTAGCGGATCTATTGTGTTTCTGTTGCTGATTGGCTGATCTTCAGTGTGTCTAATTGTCTACAATAGAGGCAACGTTCCTTTGATTTGGGATCTTTTCATCTGGGTCAAACTGGGGCTGTTGTGGTGATTATCTACAACACACACACACACACACACACACACACACACACACACACACACACACTGCCGTCTACTCAGCCGACACCATTTCAATTGCAACGCATGAATTTGGGTACTTAGAAGATGTCCCATTATGAATGAGACTCGGGTGTATCCTTCTTTTCTTCAGTACACTTTCCTATGCACTTAGTGCCTAACAAAAGAGACTTGATTTTGTGCCTTCCATGTCAATTGCAAGGCATGAATTTGGGTACTTGGTAGAGGTACCCCATCGGGGAACTTTTTGTGGTTGGCAAACTTAAGCTCCAATTTAAGCTCTTCAGGTAAGAATTGTGGAAAAAAAAAAAGGAGGACCATCTTTACTCACCAACCATTTGATCTCAACAACCTTTGTTCTGGATCCTGCTCATATGATAATAACATTTGCCTGTTTAGGAAACTACTAAAGGGGGATTTAAACTTTAAGGGAAGGGAAAAAAAGGGGGGGGGTTAAAAGAAGACGAAAAATTACCAAATGGATAACGTGAGAAAAGTGACCTTTCAGTTTTGGTGCCCCCCCCGAAAAACTACGTCCAGCATAAAAATGAGTCTAAAAACTGAAATGGTAGAAATCTGTCGGTAGAAGTCCCAGTGAAGTTGGGCATTGAAACTGCAATGGCACTTCTCTCAAATTATACCATTAGGGCCATTACAGAATTAGGTAAGCATTACCAGCATTACAACCAAAAAAAAAAAAAAAAAAAAAAAAAACAGTACAGCTTTCTTACCTTATTTCTTTGTTGTTTGGCCTTGTGCGTGCTTGGTGGTTGGTTGACTCATGACTGATTCGCAACGAGGAATCTTTTGACTGTAGCTGGTGGTGGCAGTGACACGCTACATAATCGATCACCAAGGCCTTCGCTTTGTGGAGCCTCCACCACTTAACCTGGAGTCCTGCTACAATGACTCAGCCACATCAACGCCGTTGATCTTCATGCTCTCACCGGGATCGGACCCGATGTCCATGCTCCTGAAGTTTGCCGCGGATCAGGGAGTTCGCATGGAAACGGTCTCGCTGGGACAAGGACAGGGTCCCATTGCAGCACGAATCATTGCGGAGGCAATACAAAATGGGTCTTGGGTGGCTCTGCAGAATTGCCATCTGTGTGTCTCATGGATGCCGACGCTCGAACGAATCTGCGAGACGGAATTGGTGTCTGACAAAACTGACAAGAGGTTCCGACTGTGGCTGACGAGTTATCCGTCAGATGCATTCCCTGTCTCTATTCTTCAGAATGGCGTGAAAATGACAAACGAGCCGCCCAAGGGCCTCAGAGCGAATCTCCTTGGCTCATACCTCACTCATCCGATTGCCGACCCCGAGTTCTTCGATGGATGTACCAAGGGGCCAGAATGGAGGAAAATGCTGTTTGGACTCTGTTTCTTCCATGCTTTTGTCCAGGTGAGAATTTAAAAATTCCTTCGATGTCTTGACACGTCCTTTTTATCAGACTAAAAGAGTTTAAAGCTAGAGTCTACCAGAGTGGCACGGCACCACTTGCCCAGCCGGGCGAAAAAAAATAAAAAATAAAAATAAATAAACATAGATGAGTCGGTGAAACTCCGACGAAACAGTTTGTCACAGCCCCTCGTTTATCGTCCTCTTCTTCCTCTCTGCCTACGGTTTACCGCGCAGCTCTGTTTGACTATGTATATTGTCAAACAGATATATAGTCAAACAGAGTTGCCATAAAAACCGACGAAACAGTTTGTCACAGTCCCTCGTTTGTTGTCCTCTTCTCGTTCTCTGCCTACGGTTTACCGGGCAGCTCTGTTTGACGATATATATATCGTTTTGGTAAATAATTTCGATGTGAGCCTGAGGCAAACGTTGTTCAGTTTATTTTTCTGCATAACATTCTTTTTTTTTTCAGTTTTTTTTTTTTGCTGGGACCTTCTTCCGCCCTTCCACAGTCGGGCCGCCCAGGCAAACAAGGTGACCCGGGCGGCCCGGCTGGTAGCCTAGGTTTAAAGTTTAAAATTGAAAATTCACATGCTTAACACGAGTTGTAACTTGTGGTTATCTTCACTGGTACCATTGGGGGGCATGTTTCATGGGACACTTCCATCACAGGAGCGAAGGAAGTTTGGAGCGCTTGGCTGGAACGTTGCGTATGAGTTCAATGAATCTGACCTTCGAATAAGCGTAAGGCAGTTGCACATGTTTCTGGACGAATACCCGACAGAGGTAACACCATCTTCTCTGTTTCTTCTTCTTCTTCTTCTTCTTCTTCTTCTTCTTCTTCGTCTTCTTCTTCTTCTTCTTCTTCTTCTTCTTCTTCTTCTTCTTCTTCTACGTTTCTTCTTCTTCTTCTTCTTCTTTTATTTAATGAAAGGC